TGTTTGTGTGCAATTTCGCTGTTATCATTATTTTTACTATAGTTATTATTATTGCCATTATCATATTGTAATTAGGTATTTTGAGCTTATCGATGGAGCTTTAGCGAGGGACTAGCGATCGAAATTGCAGAGTAATTTCTCTTTAAACTAGTTACGCTGCATAATGATAATAAACTTCTGAGTTGTAGATCATGGGGCCTTCTGATTGCTTCTGAGGGACCGCTTATTATTGGGGAGGATTTTTATCGAAACGTATTACTCCCAACTGATACATTGTGCCAATCAATCTGTGATTTGTTGTAGGAGTTCGTTTGCCTTAATGCCCATGGTCGGAGATTTCAGTGTGAAGGAGCATGTGAGTTCGTACTAAAACAAATTGAAGGTAGAGTGGGAACTGATCGTGACTTCGATTGTACGGTTACGTTTCAACAAGAAGGTCGTGATGTGCATACCATGAAAGTGATCCCTGAGTTTCAGTGTGAGGAGGTAATGTTGTTTGTACTTGAAATGATCCATTTTTAAAGTTATCAACTTATAGATGTCATAGATAGGTTTCCGTTTTTCAAATTCAAAGAATAAAAACCTAAAAAAAAAAAAACACAAAGTTAATTAAATCTGAGGTTGTTTTCACCTCCCATAGATTCACATACATCACTTACCTTCTTCCTTCTTATCGACACTGCCAGAATCGTTTGAAGGTCGACTTACTAGAACTTGCGAAAGAAATTTCTTTGCTTATTAAGAACCACCTACCTTACTTTCGCCCTTCCTTTAATAAGCCCATATGCTCAGTCAAGAGCACCTGAAATGTATACTCCTTCACAAGTTTCCCCAGTTTCAAGCCACATTAACGGAATAGTCACTAATTAAACTTGGTGAAGATAATGAAAAAATTACCGTGACGTCAAATATCTATAAAGGTGGAAGTCCTCCATTAACCTTGCAAAGTACAACCGAGTTCCTGGTCATAAACTTTTGATTTTTCTTTTAATTTTTTCATTTAAATGTAGTTAATAAATATATGAAACTGTAATTTTCGTGTGATAAAATTTTTGTTCCACTTATATCCCTCTGAATCGGTGTGAGAACCATTCATTTTGTAACTTTTAATTGCTAATGCTCTGTTGGTTTTAGAGGCCGGGGCCGGTAAATGATTCACGTCAAAATTCCACAGAGACTGGTGATCTGCAGGTGACACCAACAGCTCAAAGACACTTTAATGGTGCAGCTGGAGGTTCGAGGTCCTCAGCTCCAGAAGAAGGAGACTGGGGCAACTTTGACGAAAAATCGAGAACTCCTTCAGGTATCTTCGTCGTCGTCATCACTATGGTTACCATCATGAGGAAAAATAGTGAATCTTCAAATTAACTCCCCCCTAATAATAACCCAAATCAATACTTCATTTATTTAGTTGTATCGTGAAAGGGAGTTACTTTCGGAGATAATTATAATACGTATCAAATGAGCGTTTAATAACCCAAATCAATATTTCATTTATTTAGTTGTATCGTGAAAGGGAGTTACTTTCGGAGATAATTATAATACGTATCAAATGAACGTTTAATATACATAATCGCATCTTGAAATGTAATGATATCCATAAAATGAAACAGTCTTATTTGACGAGTCATAACTAGGAAACATTTACCCAAAAGGTACACAAAGAACAATTTTAAAATCCTCTATTAATTGTTTTTTCAAGAATCAGTTGGTGCATGTAAAAGTCCTTCAAGTGGCGAGAGTTCTTCTGTCTCCCCGCAACTTGTTGATGACGACCATCCAGTGACCGAAAAGATATGCTGTCATATCAGCCATAAAGTTGGAAGTTCTTGGAAAAATCTCCTGCGGGAACTCGACTTGAACTCAGCAACCATTGAACAATTAATAGCGAACTTTAATAAGGATGGAGTGGCTGAAGTTTGTTACCAAGGCCTTTTGATATGGCTGAGAAATTCTGGAGCGGAAGCAACGTATGGAAAACTGCGTGAAGCGCTCGATTCGCCTCACGTGGGTCGTTCTCATTTGCTGGAACAAATTCCTGTTAACATTGTTTAGAATAAATGCAGCAGCGCCAGAGGGTCATAAAAAGTTTACAAATTTGCTTTGTAGATTTATGTTAGACGCAACTTCGAACAGTATACCGATCAATGTAGCGCGAAAATGTTCTACTGGCAAGTGGACTGAAAGGCAATGCTCTTACACAAGTCTGTCAGAGCTGTTGGTCCACCAACGGATTTTTTGGGCGAATAGTTGTGTTCAATAGGCGGAATTTTTTGTTTCTTTGCTTTGAAATATCCTTGCCCGAGACCGTGTTCGAATTTTTTAGTTTTTAAATTTTGTTCCAAAATTGAGGTTTGTCTGAGATAAACTCTCAGTTGGTATTTTAAGTATGTACTAAATAGACCTCGAGTCTCACGAATAACTTACGTGTGCAATCGTCATTGTTCAAGCTAAGATCTCGTATATGGTAGAGTTGAAGAGTACAAGTTTTAGAGAAGTAGAGTGGTTACAAAGTAAAGTTCAAATTATATTTTAAAAATATCTACTGCCATAGTATTAAGTGTCTGCTCTGGTTTTGAGACTTATTACATAGTGTATGCATGATATTATAGTTGCATATAACGGCTCCTCTTTACTATCGAATCTTATCGATGAACAGTTTGTATATCTCAGTGACAGGTGGATGATAGTAAACACATTGTTGTAACATTTTGTTGAGGGAATGTTTGTCTATTGTTTCAACCACTGCTTAATTAAATTAAGTATTTTACAAAGGTTTATCGAAAAAACTAGTCATTGACAGACCACTTCGGCAGAGCACAATTGACATTATCATTGCTTCACCTTAACAAACACTTAGAAAGGTTGTGCTCCAAAAATACCTAGATTTGTATTTAACCTACTAAGCAGCAATATACAAACAGAAAAGCTTCCTACAAAAGATGTGCCTTTTTAAATCTATTTTGCAATCAATCACTCCAAGAAATTCAATTGTGTTAAATTTAAAGAATCGATTTCTTTAATATCATTGGTATAAAATGTTCTATAGTTTTTTCAGTGTGGTTGTTTTTAAAAGACATGTTTACCACTGCAATCATCGAACAGACACCAAAACAGTTTGAAATAATTTAATGTTTGACCAACTGTTAACTGTTAGGTCTCCAAGGATAGCCTGTGATAGAATGAAAATTTCCAAGGAGTCAGTGGAACAATAATCTCCAAGTGGAAAGGTGTTGTAAGAAGCAAAACGTGCTGATTGTTTTTGAGCCAGAGCCAACATAGGGTCTCCAGGGACAGTCGGTGATGAAATGCAAATTTCCAAGGAGTCGGTGAAGCAATAATCTCCAAGTGGAAAGGTCAGGTTTTCATGACAAAAAATGAGTGGTCCCAGCATCCAAGATGGCAAAATTTTTCCTCTTGTGTTCACACAATCCTCGAGTTGGTCCGCTTGAAGAATTAGACCATTAAACAGCATGAAAATGGCCAAGACTGCGGATCCGAAAAGCGCGTG